CACCAAAATAATCCCCAAAATAATTCTGACATCAGTTTTGTAATGTGTTCTATCTTTGAGTGTTTTTTTATTATTATTTTGTAAAATTAATGCAAAATTAGTCCATATAACATTAATAATGATAACGAATTAACTTATAGCATTTGCTACAGGCTACGTACACTTTGGAACATGCCGTAGCTAGAAGGACGCCTAACTTACAAACAAACTTACATAGTTACAGGATTTCTTTGCTAATCGATTGATTAACTCAATAGTCAAAATAACTCTCACTACTAACACTAATTAGAATTCTAATTGAATCCTCACACACTAATTACTCGTATCTATAAGACCTCTGGTCATGAAAAACCGACCCCTCTAGACGTCGCGCCAAATTTTGAAATATTATGTTCTAGAAGGCGCTGATTAGTAGAAATAAACTACTTGACTCTACTATTCAGAATCTTTTTTCAGATTTGAAATCCATGAAGTATTAAAAAGATACAACTGTATGTAAAATTTGCTGTTCATGAGGACCAAGTTAATCTGTTTGCATATCTAAATCAATAAATGAGGCAGAAGATACAGCAATTTCTTCTTGCAAATATGAACGTTCAGCCTCATCTACTACGTCTCAGGGAATTATACTATCACTATCAATCAATACCCTCACTTCAGCTGGAGTTCAAGAAAAGAATGCCTTTATCTTGTAAATAGTGACACGAAATATATCTCGCTAATTTCCTAAAAGGATTGAATTTATCAGAATCTGATGAGCTTTATCGGCGGAAACTTTCTTTTTCCCATTTCGTGTAACTTAATTAACTGTTCCACACACTCCCTGGGCATTTCATCTTTCGTATTCCCTGGATAGCATGCCCACCTTTCTGACAATGCTCCCACACAAAGTGAAGTAGTTTCACCTCCTACACTGCTTATATCCACTTCAGGACGATTACAGTGGACCAAAGACAGTGTTTGGCTAATAGCTAGTGATTTAGCAGTAATCCCGAATTGATCTTGTTAATTCAACTCAGAATTTGGACGTCGATTGGGTGTAAATAATGGTGCCTTGGAGGATGTAAATGACAAACTCGTTTCAATATTCAATTCATTTACTCCACACGCATTAAGCCTGGACGCTACAACAATTTCTGCCTTGAATATATTGGACGAGCAAATGATTTTAGCAGCATTAACCTCCCATTGAACCTCATGTGTGCTTCGGCTTCTTGTTTTTGCTTTGAACTTTTTCACTAACGTTGAACCATTCAACAGATTGGCATCAAGTACTTTTTCGGTAGTGCCTGCGATCCATCTCTAAATGTTAAGGCCTTGTATATGTCCATTTACGTAGTTATGTCGTTTCCGTCTTCCACAAATGAGTTGAACGCCAAATTCAAATATGAAAAGTGGGTATCCAGTCTCCCTCTACCAGTTTGAGCCTCCGTATAAATCCACTTCTCGACATTGAGAATGTGCCCATCAGTGGAAGACTGCAGTCCAACATTGAGATAGTATATATATATATATATATATATATATATGGGATCAGATCCTGTGAGGCAAAGCACGTTGGATATGAAGACTATTTGTTCGAATATCCTGTAGCATCTCTTTCAGTGCAGCCGCAGCTTGTACATTATCTTATCCTGTGTATCCTTCGACCACATAATCAACGAATTCGTATTGAAATCCAGGAACACCTTCATCGTCACACATTGAACCAAGCAATGACATACCCTTTTTACCAAAGTACTCCACTTGACCTTCCCTGTGGGAAGGCCTGATCGTTAGAAGATATACTCAAATGTTAGAAATATCATTACTTCTTTCCATTTCTGTAAGATTTTCTCGACGCTTTCTTGAATATCATTTGCCGCGATTTTTTCAGGATACTTCATGTTGGTTAATCTTGTCATCATGGACTCGAATATTGAACTGACATATCTTAATCGAATATAGTAGGTTGACAAACCAGCTATTGTTTCGCCTCTTTTAGTCAGAAACTTAATGATATCGTGAAATGTATGCACCCCAACCTGTTCATGGCTATCAAAGGAGTTCTTATAGGCTTTGTGAAGGTCTTCGATACTCCGTCCACCACGTTTATAAACCCGTATATCTGAAAATACGTGGTTGTCAGTCCTTATATTCCTTGTTTGACCAAGCTTTACTTGAAGGCTTCGTTGAATGAACGTAATTGCTATTGCAATCCTCTGGCTGTCCACACGGAAAGTATAATTGTATTTTGTCAGATCTGTTCCACATTCCAGAGTAGCAAACGTCTTTTTTAAGGATGAAAACTTCACTTTTCCCATTGAGTGCTTTTAAACCGGTATACGTTTTTTTTTTGTTTTTTTTTGTTGGTCTGGTAGGCTATTGAATTCGTCGGCGAGCATCTTTTTGCGTGAACGTCGTTCGAGTGAATTTGTCAAAATGCTTTGAGCGACCACGGAAATGTTTCTTCACCCAACAAGTGATAGCTTGCACGAAATGGATTCCGTCGTATATTTCTCATTAGACTGTAGTTTGTCGATAAAATACATCTTCAATTCAAATGGATCGGTCGGATACAAAAGTTGAAATAACTTATCGGTTATTTGCGTGCATAGTTAAACAGCCCTCTGTCTTTGTCTGACACTTTGCCATGAATTAGCTTTATATCCACCTATAGGTAAATATTCCAAAGCTGTGCGATTGGTAAAATCCAAGGAATTGAATATAGCAGTAATGGTTTTAAAGACTTTTGACCTCTCAGGACACTTGTCCTTCTCATTACTCTTCTGTCTCCACTTTCAGCATCATTTCTTCACTTCCAATTAATATGAATCCAAAGGTAAGCAGCATTTTACAAACGCCACAGACGAAGTAGTCTCCTTTCTTTCTTTGTTTATGTTCCTGGCAAGGCATTTTATAAATTTCAGTTATGAATATATTTTTTCAATCAAAAGAAGAAGCTTTTTTAGATTGTATTTTTGGATTATGGTGACGTAGTTTGGCATCTCCAATTCGTTTTTCGACTCTGACGTTTTTTTTTCATAAATTTGGGTCGATTTTTCGCGACCGGGGGTCATAAAGTACCCTCGTTTTCACATATTCCACAAAATATTTAGTAGAATTTGGAAAAAAAAAGAGTAAAGATTATTATATCACCATGAATTTGCTACGTATTCTAGTACTATTAAATCTAGAGTAATTGTCACGAATAGCAGTTTCCTCTAGCAAACAACAAAATTATAACATTGAAAATACAACTTAAAACAAGCTGTTTAGTTTAACAAGTATGTCACGAAAAACGTTTCTTCGTGAAAAACACACATCCTAAAAATAAATAATTTTCTTATGTAAAGTGAAGTATTAAATTTCTATAAACAGTAGCTTTTCGTATACGTCCTGTTAAAAGTAGGGTAAATATTGAAAGAAAGGATTTCGTTTAAAAGTGATAAAAAAAAAACTCGGTTATCTTAAAAATTACTGTGTATTTTCTCATCATTAGATGGCGCCACACGTACAGCTGTAACTTAATTTTATTTAAAATCTTTATTGGCACTTTTATTGCTTGTTATGTGTACCTGTTAAAATGTGTAGCGTTGCACATATTTCCCCTCAGAGAATAGCATAATTTTTAAAACTCATGAATTTTGTTGTAAGATTATTACGATTTTTTTATGTGTGTTTCTGAGTTGATTTTTTAAAATTCATTTTAAATTGTTGGTAATTATGACAAAAATATATGCAATATTTTATTCATATATTAGAAAAAGACAAAAATATTTAAGCTAATCGTACTTTTTAATATTAGTTTTTGCATAAGACTTCTTATATTTCATATCAGGTAATTGATTTTATTTGTTCGTTGTTAATGTAAGGCTACGCAACGGAATATCTGTGCTCTTCCCATCGCAGGTATCGAAACCCAATTGTTAGTGATTTAAGCCCCCCAGACTTAATACTAAGTCACCCAAAGGCCAGTTAATTGGTTAAAGTGAGTTTATTTGTGATTAATAATAATTAGCTCACTACCTCCGTTTATTGTTGAAATTATGAACAAATAAGTAGTTTGGGTAAATTTGTTATTTTATTTTTTTATTTTGTGCTCGGAGCAAGTCTTCATCTAAACAAGATTATGACTATTATGTTGTAAAATAAATTGTTGTTTTTAATTTTAGTGAAAAAATTAACTTTTAAACGCACCGAGAAAATTTGTTTACTGAAAAATGCTGTAAAAATTTATATTTAAATTAAGTAGCACAAAAAAGAGGCATAATGAGTTATTCATTTAAATTACAACAGTGCTTTATTGTAAATTGTACATTAATGGTAATTTAAGCGTTTGAAATGTAGTTTAAAAGCATAAAAAATATGGTTACAGAGCATTTCAGCCATTTAATGTAGATTGTGGTCTTAATAATTCAACTGTGAGCTTACTATTAGCACACATTTCATGTTTGTGTTTTATGTACCTGTAAGAAAGAGATATGGTTAAAAACTAAAGGCCGTTTAGAGTAAAAAATGAGTTGCTATTCTTTTACGCCCCCCCCCAGTAGTACAACGGTATGTCTGCGGACTTACAACGCTAGAATCCGGGTTTCGATACCCGTGGTGGGCAGAGCACAGATAGCTCATTGTGTAGCTTTTTGCTTAATTACAAACAAACAAACAGTATTCTATTACTTTTTTGTCTTATCGGAATAACAATTCCGATAAAACAGCCAGCTTGTTTTGTTAAAAACACAACATCTTTTTGATAAATCTGATCAATTCAGGAGAGCTTATTAAAAAAAAAAAATTTCTGGAATATAATATCTGACTTGACTTGTTTGCAACATAATATCTGCAGTGAATTTATTGCTACGTCATCTAAGAAAAGCAAATAAATGACTCGAGGAAAGATCAATTCACGCATTTAATGGTATAAAACAAGATTCATCACATTTTCGGCTGGGAAACACAATTCTTCAGTTTTTCAATTACCAAATTTAACAGTTCAACCATTCTTAAATATTCATTTTCAGAAACATCATTTGAACTGTGATCCGACCTTTGAACTAGAGGAGATGATAATAGAATCCAAACCACTACATAAAAAGAAGAAAAGGCTTTCAAAACGAAACTGTGGAAAGGAAGGCACTACTGGATCTGGCAGTGGAGAAGTAAGAAAAGTGAGATTTTTGATTAAAACTGGTTACAATCTGTTTAATAGCTAAAAACTATTTTCGTTTCCTTTTAGAAATATGTACAAGGAGAAAGGATTGTGCATAATATTTAAAAAATAACTTACAAGTTTATAAGTGTTATCTAATACGATGTTGTTGTTTTTTATTCTCTTCTTTTATGGCTGTCGTGCATGTCAAATTGATTGCTGTCAATATATCTTAATTTGATCTTAATAAAGTAAAAAGAATTGGAAGAAATCAACCAGATTTGTTGTATCACGTATCTTAGAATTTTGTAAAATATCACTATTACCTATGTACAGTAATTTTACAATAATTTAACAAATCGACTGGTATAAATTATATATATCTATACCAGTTACTCACACGAACAAGGCGGCAATGCTAATGGTAATTAATACTGCTAAACACCTTATTAAATAGTTTCAATTTTAAAATGTTTTCTAATGTGTTTAAACTAAGAATCTCGACGTCATGTAATATTTTAACCATATTTATTAATATAATTTTTTTTAAGGCTATACATTTTCTGATTTTTTTTCTTTTTCCATTGTAGGAAATGACGCCTCTACAGTTACGTCTAGAATCTATTAAAAAGGATTTTATAGTTTACAATAGAGAAAAGTAAGCATTCTATTTGTAAGTTTGGTAATTCTTTGTTTATCAAAAATTTAAAACAACATCTCGAAACGCCACAGTACTGAATTGTTGGAAAGACTGATGAATTGTGATGTTTTTAACTTTGTATCTGAGCAAGGTCAGGAACACAAGACTAAAATAATTTAATGCTTTCTTTTCTGGGTTTGTTACAACTTATTATCACATTCTATGATTTTTGCCATGGTTAATAGCATTTATAATCACCTAACCCTAATAAATAATCGGTATGTATTTTCAGTGTTATGGATACTAATTACGAATTAGTTTCCGCTGCAAATCTGCTGACCTCTTCAGGGAAGTCTCGAAGAGGCGAAATTCAATCCTTAGTCTTCTTATTGTACAGGCTATCAATCACGGAAACGATTAATGCGTGATCGTCATACTGTAAACATATTCAATGATTATTATAATATTTTTGATGAAATAGAAAAGTTTTTACTGGAATCTTCTCCACTTGTGAAGAAAGAATGCATAATGTGAAATAATGTCCTAGTTTTTTGTAGAATAATTAAGAGACTCGCTGATTCCTAAAATCAAAAACTTATTTCGTGCCTCGATGACCCAAGGCAGCCTATGAATGTGTTTACTGAATTCTGAGTTGAAACAAGCAAGAAATTCTACCGGATTACTTCACATGAAGTCACATGAAATATTCAATGATTATTACTTCACTTCACATGAAATATTCAATGATTATTACTTCACATGAAATATTCAATGATTATTACTTCACATGAAGTCACATGAAATATTCAATGATTATTACTTCGCATGAAGTCACATGAAATATAAAATGATTATTACTTCACATGAAGTCACATGAAATATTCAATGATTATTACTTCACATGAAGTCACATGAAATATTCAATGATTATTATAATCTTTTTAATGATGATAATTTATACTCATCACTCTACGAAAAGTAAAATTATGTTCGAACTAAATAAATATTAGCTGTTAGATTTTAGCTGTTAGATTTTCTTGATTACCTAGAGCTCTGTCTAGATTTCTATTCACCTTCGTACCAGGGTTGCCAGATTGGAGGAAAATCCCCCGTTTGTGTTTGTGTGGGAGGGGATAGCGGGAAAGTTTTCATGGGAAAATTGTTTTTCAAATGAAAGGATTCAGATAAAAATGAGGAAATTTTATGTTCTCTAAAATTAGATTTTTATAGATGTTTTAACAACTTAACTTACTTTCTAGGAGTGAGTGATGCAGTAGCAGGAGTGTAGTCGATGTGGGAGCCAGGAGTATGATCCCCTTTCCAGGACAGAGCAAACTATGCTCCCCCCCCCCCGATTTTTGTAAACACCTCTTTTTTTTTCTTTCTCTTTACTGAAAGAAGGAAATAATCTTGATGAGAGGACCCCATTGACCGAATGATAATATGCACTTGAGGAATGAAATGTTTATGTTGAGGATCTATCCGATGTTGGCCAGGTGGTTAAGGCACTCGACTCGCAATCTACGTCCCACCAAACATGCTCGCCCTTTCAGCCGTGGGTGCGTTATAATGTGACGGTCAATCCCACTATTCGTTAGTAAAAGACTAGCCCAAGAGTTGTCGGTGGATGCTGCCGGCCGGTGATTTCCCTCTGGTCGGCATTTTAAAATTAGGAACAATGGTAGATATTCCTAGTATATTTACCTAAACAAACTTTCAACCCAGCTACAAGCACACCTCTCATGCCACAAGTGTTTGTAACGTGACTGACCTCGCCTCTTTACCTTGCATACACCATCTCTCTCTTTATACATACCCACATCGCCAAAGAATTCTCATCTTGCATTGAACTCCCTTAATTGGCCTTTGGCTCGCTCTCGCTGTCTTTTGACACATACACTGGTCAAAATCTTAGATGGATAAAAAGTGGATCTCTGTAACAGTGAGTATATCTGTTTATTGAGGCAAATGCGTGTAGAGTAGCAAAGGTCATTACTAGGGTTCGTCGTTTTGTTAACTTACCTGCTTTTTAAATTAACAGATTTGAGCTGACTCAATGAAACTTATAGAAAAACTACTAACTTAGTCAAGAGTTATTAACGATTTTGCGGAAGCCTGTAGATTCCATGATTTCCGATGAATTCCGTTGTCCACGAATTCGGAGTGCCTCTGTCTATGACCTTGTTCTTGTAAATGACCCGTTGGTTCACAGTCAAATACCTGAGTGTAAATTGTACGGTTGTACTTACAACAAGCACCACAACAAGGATTTGCTTTTTACCAAGTCCTCAAACCTCCTTCAGATTCTAAGAATAATCCAGAAAAGATGGAAATATCAAAGAAATGGCTATATAATATTTCCTTGTGATAAAAACATTTCACTCCTCGTTTTATGGTTATAAATATTTATGTTCCTTAATCGACACATAATTAAACAGACACGTCAGAGGTGGAGTTCCCATTTATCTCAATAAATTGAAATGGGATGAAACATTTTAGTTGATAAAGCTTGAATATATTTATGTTGATCGATTAGAAATTACATACTTAAGCTAATTAAAAGTTTTCGTTTCCGAGTTCCGTATAACTACGATACATGTTTTATGTAAGAAAATTGGTTTAGACCAATTAAAGAAATTAATTTGAAAGATCAGATATAGAGAGTAAAATATTTGGCCTAATATTAATGATAAAATCTGATGGTCTAGTCGTGATGACGGACAAAAGATTGAATTTTACACGCTCCTAATTTGGAATCAAAATGCGCTAATTAAAAGGATTGTGAAAAATCCTCTTCAGTTTAATGTGATTCTATCTCTAATATTAGGCTTATTAGTTTTATGGTTTAAAATCGTAAGAGTAAAACTTATTGTTTACTTTTATAAGTTGCTATTGAAATAACTTAGTGTATTTCGTTTTTCGTAGGGAACTTAAAAAACAAGCCAAGGCAGACGACGATGAATATAGGTAGGCCTATATTAGGAACAGAGTCTGCGTGAACTGATGTAATACATTATTTAAACGCTCTTATTGTGACGTTGAAATATACCTTCAAATATTCTCTCCTTTCAATCAACCATTGTTTTGTTTTTTTCACGTGTTGCATGTGCATTGTTTTATAACAAAGAAAGTTTATGCATGGAAGCCTTCTTACATAAAGGTTTTCACGCACAAAAAATGAGTTCTTCGACATAAACCGTATCCAAACAAAGCAATTGTGAAAGTATACGCAACAACGAAGGAGGACTCTCTCTCGCCCATAAACCTTAGCGTGGTGTAATATGAACATAACACTGATTTTGGTGTTGAGTATTTCTAACCCTCCTTTTTATAATTGAACATAGAAAGAAACATATAAAGCTACGTGATACTTCTTAAAATAAAATATTATTGTTATAAACTATTACTTATCGAATAATATATCAAGAAAACATCGCAACTACTCTTAGAACGAAAGCAAAACTTTCAGATTTAAAGTTCTCAAGAGAATAGCTCTTGCCAGTAAAAAATAATACCTTGGAGTTCCCTCTTCCTTGCATTATAACTCGTGTATCCTAGAAGTCGAAATTTCTCATGGTGACTGTACCATTATAACTCGTGTATCCTAGAAGTCGAAATTTCTCATGGTGACTGTACCATTATAACTCGTGTATCCTAGAAGTCAATAATTCCTTGGAGTTCCCTCCTCCTTGCATTATAACTCGTGTATCCTAGAAGTCGAAATTTCTCATGGTGACTGTACGCTACACTACTCTGATGGAGAAGAACGGAAGTTACTCTTGAAAATCATATGTTCTTCCTAAACGACGTGCTCATACGAAATATGTGCATTGAGAGAATTTATGGCTACAACTAATATTTCACTGATGGGAAATTTTTCCTTGTGTATCTTGTATATAATTATGTATTGAGTTATATTAAAAATTTAGTCAATCTGAGAGTTGTATTCTTTTCACAACTTCCATATATATATATATATGTGTGTGTGTGTGTGTGTGCTGATGCAAAATAGCCAATGGGACAAAGAAATCTCGAATGGTTGGGTCTGAGGTTGCTGTCGAAGAGATTTTATTAGCCAGTGGATACAATTCGAATGCCACTGTTATATTTTATAACTTCTGTAGTCCAAATGTTACATACTGATTAAAGTAATATACAAGGAGAAACCAAACTAATAAAATCACCGTAGTTAAGCTTTTATAGCATATTTTAGAATAAGACTAAGTTATATCGAATAGATAAATTCACAGGAAATGTCGAACCCATTGTTGAAAGCTAGTAATAGCTTAGTTTTTGATAAACGGCTGATCAAGATATAGTTACTATATTAAAAAAAACAAAAACAAGTATGCTATGAGTGTTAAACTGATGTGATTTTAAATTAACAGTGCATAAACCATCAAGTATGTGGTCTGTTTTTTTTTTTTTACAGTGTGTGTTCATATTTACGTTATTCGTGCAGTGATTTAATTGAATGAAGACACATGAAAGAGGGGGATACGTAAGAAAAACAGTGGATTAGTCAATGGAAAAATTAATAATAAATTATCACCACTTACAGTGTTTACACGGTTTGTTCACCAGCTGATTATATTGGCAATAAAAAAGTCGTAGATTTAGTTACCAGACATTAACATATCTGGGTATTAACACAATAACTTGGTAAGCAAAAGAAAAATAGTGAAAACATGTGATATTATTTACT